TTCTACAGATTTTTGCTATACATCTAATGCACATGTGTACGACTAGGTGTTCATATCTGTGTCTGTGTGTGTTTGGGCCTTCCTTCCTTTCTTTTTTTTTTTTTAAATTCCTGATGTTACTTATTTTTTTTAATATATATTTTATTGATTTTTTTTTTTTTTTTACAGAGTGGAAGAGAGAGGCATAGAGAAAAACATCTATGAGAGAGAATCATCGATCAGCTGCCTCTTGCATACCCCCCACTGGGGATGTGCTCACAAGCAAGGTACATGCCCTTGACCGGAATCGAACCTGGCACCCTTCAGTCCTCAGGCATCAGCTCTATCCACTGAGCCAAACCAGTTTCGGCTGATGCTATATTTTTTAGAGTGTGAATGGAAGCATTTACTACCATCAGGATCTCTAAGGTTTAGACCCCCTCAACAGACATCCAGAAAGAGCAATGGCTTGACAAACTTAAGTATAACCAACAGTTTGCATATAGTCTTAACTGTGTTGGAAACAAAATTCAACTGAGTAAATTTGAGCATCTCATTGGCTTTAGTAAACAACCCATGAGGAGGGCAGCATCTCATCAGCAACCAGAAGGATGCTCCACGGAGCTGTACAAAGCGGGAGGATGGCATAGAAAGAAGGAGGAGAAAGGGGGTTTCTTTCAATTAGTGAAAGGACAATGATTGTTTGGGGGCTTGGCGGAAAAGAAAGCGTTTTTATGATGTCAAATGCCTCTTCTTTCTAAGGGGGATGGAGAGGAGGACGATGTGACAGATTCCCTTACTGGTGCTGGACCAGAAAAACACCAGACTGATTGAATAAGATTATAAAAGTTAATGAATCGCTGCTTGCATAAGCAACCAATTTCGTTTCTGGCAATGACAGATCAGGTATTAGATTCGGCATCACTGGCTTTTAGCACAAATGACACCATTCTGGGCCTGTTGTTTTTTTTTTCTTTGGCAACCGAGACGAAGTAAAGTCAGAAGAAGAACAGCTCCAGCGGTGAAAAGGCTAAAAGCTGGAAAGCCTTGTGAAAGGTCAGAGGCTGTAAGTTTCAGCCAGAGGAAACCACTTTCCATCCGCTTTGGAAGAGATTGGCGCTAACTATGAAGAGTTACTGAAAGTAGCTATTTAGACAATAGCATTCAATAGTACCAGAGTCTCTTCTCAAAACAGATATAGAATAGCACTGGGAATGTGAAGCTGCTGCAACAAAGACTCCAAATACAGCGGCTTATAGAAGATGGGAATTTATTTCTCACACTCTAGCTAGTCCACGTTGGTAGCTGGCTCCGCTCTACACGGGTTCCTTCTGTCAGACCCTGTGTGGTAAACACATCTGTATTCCCACTCAATGGGACATTGGAGGAGCAAAAGCCTAGTGCCTTAAGGGCTATTTCACTTACATCTCACTGAAAAGGACTTGGTCAGGAAGCCACACTCAGAGCAGCTGGCAAGTGTGGGGTCTCTGGCTGACCAGACATTTTTCCAGCTACTTTATTGCTATAGAAGCGGAGTATGGATTATATGTTGACTAAATGAAGTCTTTTAAATAATTCAATAATTTAGACCAGTGGTCGGAAAACTCATTAGTCAACAGAGCAGCAAACCATGGATCTTGAGCCGCAGTTTGCCGACCACTGATTTAGACCATGCCCTCCTTACAAAGATAAATAAATAAATCATTTTTTAAATGGGCGTGCATATCAGCATATCATTTGTGATTCTGTTGGTTGCCAAGTGACAGCACAGGCTATTAAACTTGCTTAAGCAATAAGATGGACCATCTCACAGTCCAGGCTCTGTCCCAGACCGCCAGCTCCTCTTCCCTAGCACCCTCTGGATTCAGTCAGGTGTTGGCTGCACCCTCAGATTGAGACCAAGATGGCTGCGGCAATCCAAGCATCGCCGCCAACTACGTCCACACCCAGAGAAGTGGGTAGGCTGATTTCTAAAGTGAAGAGATGCTTTCTAGAAGCCCCCTCCCGACCATAGGCTTCCCCTTTGGTTTTTCAGGTTTCCAAGCCCAAGACATCACGGGCAAGAGGCATGTGACCACCACAATGGACGTGGACTAAATGGGGCTCACTCCTTTGGTCACAGGAGGAGGAGAACCACCTGAATAAAATCAGGGCTCTGACTGCAAGAAAAAGTGAAGGAATCACTGGCAACGATGGAGACATGGGACCGAGTGATGGTGTGATGGGGGGCACATAAGCAGCAGAGGAGTAAACTTCCAGCTCTTTCTTAAATTATCTATACTAATAAAAGGCTAATATGCTAATTATGCTGGGAGACCTTCCAGGAGACCTTCCGGATGTTCTTCTGGACAAAGCCATGGTGGTGGGGCCGAGGTAGAGATTGTTAGAGGCCAAGAGGGGAGGGCAGTTGTGGGTAATCAGGCTGGTGGGGAGGGGCATTTGGGGTGATCAGGCTGAAGGGGGGGGCAATTGGGGGCGAGCAGGCCAGCAGGGGGACCAGTTGGGGGCAAGCAGGCTGTCAGTTGGGGGTCAGTTGGAGGTGATCAGGACAGTGCAGGGCAGGGGGGCAGTTTGGAGTGAGCAGGCCAATGGGGAGGAAAGATGGAGCAAGTAGGCCAACAGGGGGGGCAGTTGGGGGTGAGCAGGCCAGCAGGGGTAGGGGCTGTTGGGGGCAAGCACACTGGCACAGAGGGCATTTGGGAGTGATCAGGCTGGTGGCAGCGGGGGCAGATGGGGGGCAAGCAGGCCAGCAGGCAGAGTGGTTAGGGGCAATCAGGCAGGCAGGCAGGCGAGTGGTTAGGAGCCAGCAGTCCCAGATTGCTAGAGGGATGTCTGACTGCCGGTTAGGCCTGATCCCTTTAAACTGGCAGTAGGACATCCTTCCAGGGGTCTCAGATTGGAGAGGGTGCAGGCTGGGCTGAGGGACAATCCTCCTCCCCCGTGCACAAATTTCGTGCACTGGGCCACTAGTACCTCAATAAAGTGTAATCCCAGTGAAGACATTGCTGGAAGAGTTAGAAGCTGAGGAGCTACCCTCAGTGCCTCCTTCTTTCTCACCCCCATATCCAATCTATTACCAATGTCAGTGTCTATGCTTTCAGCACCCTCGCTTTCTCTCCTTTCCCGCTGCATGGCCTCTGTGCAGGTCTCATGTCCCGCAGGCATATGACAACCATGACCTAACTAGTACCCAGGCTCTCTTCCTGAAGTCCACATGTTTGCCACTGTTATCCAGCCACACACCTTCACTGTGTATGGAGCACTGCATATTTGCAGACTCATCAGAATGGGTCACTACCTTCGATTTGCTGACCATATAATGAGCATCTCCTGGACTTCCTGAAACCCGTGTCAGATCTGGTCCTTTTCCTGCGCAGAAACCCCATGATTTCAAGAAACCCTTTACCATGGCCCTCAACATCCTTCACCTCCCCCCAGTCCCTCCCCCAATAGAACAGAACAACTTGCACTTCCCCCAAGTGTGCCCTCCCCCTTCACATCGCTCTGCTTCAGCACATGCTGTCCCTCCTGCTAGAATCCCCTCTCCATCTGGAGTGCAAACAAGGTCTCCTATTACTCCTTCTGCTGCTACACTCCCACCGCCATCCCCACCCCCGCCCTCACTCCCACCCTCACCCCCACCTCCACACACTTACACAAACATGCACTGGAAAAATGTTTGCTGAATGGAGGCAACTCCTAGGATCAGACGTTAGCCAGCGCTTTCCAAACTTCTTCCCAAGCATTCCTTAAGAAAGGGGAAAGGAGATGGGTCCCCAGGACTTAGGGAGGTGAGGGTCTCGAACCGCTCTAGGCAAGCAGGGCATTCCTCGAGTTTAATCTTTACATGTTATACAAAATTGCATTCTAGCCGGTTTGGCTCACTGGATAAAGCGTTGGTCTTGGAGGCTGAAAGGTCCCAGGTTCGATTCCGGTCAAGGGCGTGTACCTTGGTTGCCTCCTGCAGTTGATTGATGTTTCTCTCTCATCGATGTTTCTAACTCTCTATCCCTCTCTTCCTTTCTGTGAAAAACTCAATAAAATGTATATTTTTTAAAAATTGTATCCTATGCAGATAACATACATATTATTTTCCCCAAGTCTTTAAGTTGATGACAAAAAGATGTTCCTCTTTTTATTCGTTAGGCTCTCCAGTCAGCTGCCCCCGCACCGCAGGGACCCTAAGCAAGACCTGGGTGTTGTTCCGAGTGCCAACCCTGCAGAACAGCTGGGCGCAGGGGTGGGAGGGTGGTGGGGGCAGGGAGGGGGTCCTCGGGCTGCAGGCTGGGCCCCGCCCCCTCCCCCCCCTCCGCCCGCCGCGAGGGCGGAGTCACTCGGTCCCGCCCGCGGAGGCGGGGAGGGAGCCGGGACTGCTGGCCGCTCCGGCGCGGCTGGTTCCGGGTTGAGAAGCGGCGCTGGGACCGGAGCAGTGGCCGCGGGGCCGGCGGCGGGTAAGAATCCGCGCTGGGTCGGGTCTTGGGGGCCGGGACCGGGCTGATGAACGTGCTTGCTCCCCTCCTTTCCTCTGCCGAGCACAGCCGTGCTGCGGCTCCCGTTTGGCTCTTCCCTCCCCCAGATTCCCCTCCCCAGCTTCTCCCCCTCCCCCATAGCACCCATCCCGGGATTTCAGCACCCTCCCCACCCCCAGACCTCCATCCCCTCCCGGATCCCCTTCTCCCAGCACCCATGCCTTCAGACTGCCCCTCCCCCTAGCCCCTTCTTGCCAGGAGTCCCTTCGCTCAGACGCCCACGGGACACTCCCTCCAGCACCCATCGCCCCAGGTCACCCCCTGCCTGGAGACCACCTTCCTACGCTGCATCTCGGGTAGTCTGTGCTCCGCATCCCTTCCTCATGCTCCCTGTCTCCTGGGCCGTAGCGCCTGCTCCTGCCCCCGCCGGCCCGCTCCCCCCACCTATCCTTGGATGCTGGGTGCTGGGTGCTGGGTGCCGCCCCCGACCTCGCCGCGCTCTCTCGGCAGCCCCCCTGCGTCTCAGCCCCCGCCTCCGCCGCCCCCGGCGCCATGGCGTGCAGCCTCAAGGACGAGCTGCTCTGCTCCATCTGCCTGAGCATCTACCAGGACCCGGTGAGCCTGGGCTGCGAGCACTACTTCTGCCGCCGCTGCATCGCCGAGCACTGGCTGCGGCAGGAGGCGCAGGGCGCCCGCGACTGCCCCGAGTGCCGGCGGACCTTCGCCGAGCCCGCCTTCGCGCCCAGCCTCAAGCTGGCCAACATCGTGGAGCGCTACCGCGCCTTCCCGCTGGACGCCATCCTCAGCGCGCGCCGCGCCGCGCGCCCCTGCCAGGCGCACGACAAGGTCAAGCTCTTCTGCCTCACGGACCGCACGCTGCTGTGCTTCTTCTGCGACGAGCCCGCGCTGCACGAGCAGCACCAGGTCACCGGCATCGACGACGCCTTCGAGGAGCTGCAGGTGAGCCGCCCGCCCGGCGGGCCCCGGGCGGGGACTCCGCAGGCCCGGAGGCAGCGTACGGGCTGGCCCGTGGGCGGGGCCAAGTCATCCTTGCCAGGGGGCGGGGCCGCCGGCAGGGTCAGGGGCCTATCAGAATTAGTGCGGGGGCGTGGCTGGGGAGCCTCTGCGGTGAGGGGCGGGGCCTGAGCTAGACTGAAGTTGGGGGTAAGTCCCTGGCTGCTGGAGAGGGCACCCATAGAGTCAGGGAGGGACACATGTGGGCCCGCGTGAGAATGGTTTCGGACAGCGTTGGGGACAGACACAGATTGGAATGGGGATACAGTCAGGGCTAGACGGGGTGGAACCGTCTCCAAGGATGGGCCAAGACTACATGGAGGCCCATCATGTGTGTATCAGGACCACGGGGCAGCACCCAAATTGGGCAGGCAGGGACTGAATCCGAGAGAGGGTTTATTTAGGTTAGGGTCAGCAAACTGCTGAGAGAGTGGGTTTGGGTGCCAAGGGCTAGGCTGAGGTGTGAAAGGGGGTAAGGCTGGGATCCAGTTGAGATACTCTTGTAAGAACCATTTGGGATTCAGACCAGAGTAGAGCCCTGGTTGAGAGTGGGGACAGGACTTGAAGGCCAAGATTCGGAGAATGAGGCCCTGAGGTGAGGTGATTTGAGAAGGCAGGGTATACACCTGAAGGAGTCTCCAGGGGCTTTTGATGACCTCCTTGGCGCTGTCACTCACATCAGGACCTTTGCAGACTCAATGAAAGAGCACATGCATGGTAACCTGAGGACAGTCTGCCTAAGACTGTAAATGGCCTCCCTTAAACCTGCCCATCTGCACTAGCCAACTCCAGCTCAGTTCTCAAAGCCCTGCTCACACATTCTCTCTGAGTAAGCCTTCCCCAAGTTCCACTGGCAAAAAAAAAAAAAAAAAGGAAAAAACAGCATTAGAGCTGCATGTATGTCCCCTGATGTTCTCTGTTAATAAGTATGATGCTTTAAAAAGTGTTCCAGATTATCTATATTTGAGAAATATAGTATATTCTCTGTACTCCCCTTAGAGGATTCTCAGTGCACAGAGGATTCTCAGTGCACATTTGCCATATTAAAGGATTGGGCAGCAGCAAAGAAACTCACATTACTGTATTTAATAAAATAGTTCCAAGCTTATTGAAGCCTGGAATCTCTTTCTCAAGCCAAACCATTTAAATCCAGCAGCCTCACACCTCTGGCTTTGGCATACCGTCTGGCACATAGTTAGTTCCCCAAGGGCAGAGGCCGTCTCTTATTCATTGTATCTGTGGGCCCAGAGCCTGGCGGACAGTGCATGTCAGTAAAGGCTGAATGAATGAATGACCAACCTTGACCAGAACTGGCCCAGACTATGGAGCCTTTGGAAGCAGAACAGTTTCAACTCAAACGTTTCATGAAAATGCAGTGGGCTAACTTGGGGGAGTGAGCTTATGCAGGAGATAAGGAACGACTTTGTCCCATATTCTAGGGGGTTCCCCCCAGTCCGTGTACCTGAGTCCCTACAAGTCAGCCTGAACCTAGCAGGTGCTCATGCAGATGGGCGTTGGTGCCAGGAGAAATGGCCTATGCTCCCCATTCCCCATTTCCCGCCCCTTTCATCCCAAAACCATGACTGACTTCCTTCCAGTCTGGCTCATTGAGTATGGAGAGCAAGGGCTGGGAGCTTGCACAGGCTAGTATTGGCCCTTGACCTCCAGAGTTCCTTGTTCCATCTCCTTGTCGGTGAAATCACATAAACTGGGAAAAGGAAAGAATCTTTGACAGGACTAGGTGCAGGTTGTAGGAGTTTGAAGGGACTTTATCTGAAACCATCTGTCCAGCCTCTTGATTACATAAATGTGGAGACTGAGATCTAGACAGGGGGTGTGACTTACCCAAAAATACACTGCCAGACAATGAGAGATCGATCCGGCTAGAAAGCACAGCCTGACCGGGCCTGATCTCTCCCCTACCCCTCCCTTATCTCTCCTCTTCCTGTCTGACTTCCTAGCTGGAGAGGCCTCTGCCCACTGAACCCTGGTTCCTTTTTCAGTAAACCAGAAAAATCAGAATTACTGTGTTTGGGTTTTTTGTAGTCCATTTTGTGACCTGGGGAACAGAGGAGAAACTGAATATATATTTTCTCCAAATGTTATTGAAACACTTTTCACTCTTGGGTAACAAGACAAACAGGACTGCCACTCATTTACCTTCTTTAAAAAAAAAAAAAAAAAAAAAATATATATATATATATATATATATTATTGATTTTTTTTTTTTACAGAAAGGAAAGGAGAGGGATAGAGGGTTAGAAACATCGATGAGGGAGAAACATTGATCTGCTGCCTCTGCCTCCTGGGGATATGCATGCAACCAAGAAATATGCCCTTGACCGGAATCAAACCTGGGACCCTTCAGTCCGGAGGCCAACGCTCTATCCACTGAGCCAAACCGGTTTCAGCCACTCACTTACCTTCTCATGTACTGCCCTGAGTCAGCACTTGCGTCCCAAACCTTCCTTCAGCGCTATCTGTGTAACTCAGCTAAATCACTGCATGTAGCTTGCTGTTCCCATCTGTTAACTGGAGTCAGGGGGGATTCTTTCCCACCAGGATTTTGATGAAGCTGACCCGTGATGAACCTGCTAGGGACGCCTGGCCCATCGTGGGGCTTGGTCAGCACGCACTCCCATTCTTTCTCCTTCCACCTGTGAGAACTCATATGTCCACCTGGGGAAATGCCCCGCCCTGCCTCTCTTGCCCCAGGAGGCCTGGCTTTGGTGCCCACTTGGGCATGGCAAGAAGGTGGCAGAGAAACATGCCTCCCCATTAGAGAGAGAAGTTCCTGGGTAAAGTTCAAGCCACTCCAACCCCTACCTGCATCTCTCGCCTTAGGCGCTCTTTGTGCCCTGGGTCTGAGGCTGAGCTGTCCCCCACACTCCTCCTTTCCCAGCTGCGGGCTTCTGGAGCCTGGGATTGGACCCCTCTCCTACAGATAACAGACTGAGCGCTGGCAGCCTTGGAGATTGGCTGGTGCAACCTTCACTTGACAGATGGGGAATGGTAGGAGGGGAGGCACCTTGCCCAAGGCCTCAAGGCCACAAGGGGGTGGGGCATAGGCTCAGCGGGAGACTCCCACATCCCCCCCTAGCCTTTGGTCTGAAGCTTTTAAATTTATTATTCATCCTGGAGGTAGCAGAACAGAAAGGTTAAGAGGTCTGGTTTTGTATTCAGGCAGCTCCAACCCAGGGCTGCCATTTTCTGGTTGTGTGACCTTAAAAAAGTAATGTAATGCCAAAATTGGTTTGGCTCAGTGGATAGAGCTTGGGTCTGTGGACTGAAGGGTCCCAGGTTCGATTCCGGTCAAGGGCATGTACTTTGGTTGCGGGCACATCCTCAGTGGGCGGTGTGCAGGAGGCAGCTGGTTGATGTTTTTCTCTCATTGATGTTTCTAGCTCTCCCTTCCTCTCTGTAAAAAATCAATAATATATATATATATATATATATATATATATATATATATATATATTTATTTATTTATTTTTTTTTTTTTTAAAGAAAGAAAGTAACGTATCATCTTGAAACCTCACATGCCTCTCTGACAGCGTGGAGTAATGGGGTTGGATTAAATTTGATGACATTTGCAAGAACTTAATACTGCACTTGGCACATTGTAAGCACTTAATAAATAATAGCATCTCTAGGATATTACATCATACTCTGCACTATGGATATTTAGGGCCAGGTAAGTCTTTGTTGTCCAAGGCAGTTCTGTGCATTATATGTGTAGCAGGCAGGACCCCTGGTCTCCCTCTACACACTAAAGGCTGGTAGCGCCCTTCCCCCAGGGGACATGGGATAAAGTCTCCATACTTTATCCCATGTCCCCTGAGGTCAAAATCAGCCCCGGTTGGGAACCCAGGCCTGAAGAAGTCCTACTCAGCTTTCCAGGCTCAGCTCAAATATCACCTGCCCCATGAAGCTTTCCCTGCCCTGCCAGGCGGAATTGCTTTATACTCCCCAGGTCCCACTGCTGGGATCAGATCCTGGCCTCACTGAGAAGCTGTGTGTCCTTGGTCCGATGCTGTGTCCAAGGTGCCTGATACTGTGCCTGGCACAGAGTAGCACACAACCGATTTGAAATGCCTTTTGCTTTTTTTTCTGATGGTAGAATTAGCATAATAACCAGAGCTATATAATGTAAAAAGTTAGTCTCCCCGTAGTTCCATCCCATAGAGAAACCTGCTAAGAATTGCTTCCTAGTTCTACAGAATTTTTGTTGTGTAAATAGCACGTGAGTGTGCGTGCGTGTGTGTGTGTGTGTGTGTGTGTGTGTGTGTGTACATCCTCCCCCCCCACCCCCTTTTTTTCTCCCACTGCTGAGCACTAGATCCTGGCACAAAGGGGGAGGGAGGAGCCCCATCTCAGTAGGGTCTGGGACTTCTCCGCTAATATTTCTTGAGCTCTAGCCTGATGCCTGGGGCTGTACTAAGCACTTTTCTGGTATTGCCTCGTTTAATCTTCATCACACCCTGTCCAGTGGGTTCTGTAATTTGTTCCTTTTACAGATAAGGAAACGGAGACTCAGGAATGCAGGGACTTGTTCAGCCAGCCAGCTAGTAAATAGCAGAGGCAGGATTGGAAGCCAGTCTGACTGGGCCGCTCATAGCCTGCGAGCTACTTCTGAGAGCCGGGTCCTGCCTGTCTTTGTATTCCAAGATCTCGGCCCAGGGTCAGGCCAAGGACACAGGCCACCTGTACCAGCTGATGCCCCGAGGGCAGGTGGCTGGATGGCATCTGGGTCAGGCATAGTGTGCGGCTCTCTGGCCATCTCAGCTCCCTCGCTGGAGAAGGGATCTGATTCCGTCTCAGACACCCCCTCCGGGCCTCATGTGACCATTGGAGCCTTTCCCAAGGCCTCCTTCCTACCGAGGGAGATGGCGGTGGATCCGCCTTGGATGGGAGCCTTGAAAAACTGGGTGTGGTGACCCAGAGATGCCCAGGCAGCCGCACAGAGAAAGATCAGGGGTGGGGTGGGGGGGCTGGGTTCCAATCCTGCTTCCTCCACCTGAATGGGAGGTACTGTTTCTCTGGGAAATGGAAGTAGGAACAGGACTGTCCACTTACTGTGTAAAGAGGGGCAGAGAGTTGCTTCCCCTCCAAAGAAATGGCAGATACGAAGGACAGGGAGGCAGCCAGGTTGTCTGTGTCCCAGGACAGGGCAGGATTTATGTGCAAACAGCCGCCTTCATGGGGGCCAGGCTGGCAGTGAGTCAAACCCGGAGCTAGCTGCTGGCTACTCCCCGTCCCTCTTCACAGGTGTCTTTGGGCAGCCAGGAATGCCCGGCTCATCCAGGACACCTTGGCTGAGCACAGGCTACAGTATAGAAACTTAGAGTTGTTTATTTTACATAGAGAAAAGGATCTGGTGAGGAGTGACAACAACAGAAATAATAACTCTAAAAAATCAACAACCACCACCACTGGCGGAAGAAGTTTCTTAAGCCCTTGCTGTGTGCCAGGTGCTGTTACAGGCACTGAATTCTCCCAGCGTCCCTTGATTCTTTCCCTGCTCCCCGAGTGGGGTTCCACCCACTGCACCCAGTGAAGACTCGGAGGCTGAGAGTCCGTAACTTGTAAGTGGGAGGCAGAGAGGGATTCAGACGGGGGTCTGTCCAGCTCAGAACTCAGCCTCCCCACCAAGAGGCTCGCTGCCTTGGGGAGCACCTGGATGGGGAGGGAGCTCAGAGGCCATCCAGTTCCACCCTCTCCCCCCTTTCCAGATGGAGAAATGGACTTGCCCAAGGTTAGGCCAGATCTCTATGGACTCTTATCCAGCCTTTACCACCGGGACCTTGAGATCTGCTTGGACAGTGGTGGTGGGGGTGGATGACTTGGAGGTGGGTTCCCATGGGGCCCAGAGATTCACTAAGGAATGTTCTCAGTTGACACTCCAGCCCAAGGCCTGTGTGGGGCCCGGGAGAGAATGAATGAGCCCTAGCCCTGTTGTGGAACTCTGTCCCCCTCTCTCAGTCTTCACCAGCAACCCTATGAATTGAGTCCCGTCACTCCATTTTTCAAATGAGGAAACTGAGGCTCAGAAACTGTGCTGAGTATCACTGAAGCTGGAACTCGGACTTGGGTTACCAGAGTCTGACCAGGGACAGGCATGGAAGTGAGCACATGCCCAGGTGGTTTGTTGTGGCTGGAGGGGAAGGGATATGGGGGAAAGCGGAAAGGGAAGCTTGACCAGGTCAAAAGGACCTTGAATACACCGTCCCCCAGCCCAAGGGGCTCGGATTTGACCCTGGAGATGCCGTGGAGCCAGGAATGGGGTTGGACAGGCGAGTGTGGCCTAGTCTGATCTTTTCAGGGTGGACTGATGAGAGAGCCTGAGGCTGGGGAGCAGACAGGAGGTGCAGCCAGAGACTGCGAAGCTCAGAATGGACAGAGTGGTGGGGCTCAAAGACAGAGAAGAAATGCAAGAGTTCAGTCCTGCCGGGAGGAGCAAGGAGCATCCGGGGTTCTGGGCACCAGGGAGGGGTTGGGAGGAGAGGAAAAGGGGAAGCAGGTTCAGTTTGCCTTATTAAGACTTCCGGCATCCTTGGGGCAGAGAAGGGAAGAGAGGGCGGTACCGGTGCACAAGGAAGGGGAGAGGCCTGAGCACCCACATGTGCCAGCACCACACTGGGCCCTTTCATAGGAGCCCACTCATCTACCCTCATCACAGCTCTGTGAGTGGCTCAAATCCCCATTGGACAGATACGCCCTGAGAGGCGGGCCCTGAGAAGGCAAAGTGCAGCTGGGATTGGAGCCGGGGCTTTCCGGACGCCAGAGCTCACGTGGTCTCCCTGGGCTGCACTGATCAGTGAGGGGCTGAGAGGGTTCCCGAAGTCAAGGAGAGATGGCTTCCTGAGGCAGCTTTCTCTCCTGGGCTGGGAGAGGGTGGCCGCTCAAGAGGGAGGTCTGGCCTTGAGGACCTGTGTCCCCACAGCTGCTGGCCTCTCCAAACCTACAGGAGCCCCAGAGCCTCTCGCCTGAGTATTTCCATGCACCAGCCCTGCCTCTGCCCCTCGCCTCCGCAGGAGGTGCAGATGTGGCTCTGCCCGCTGCAGGTGCATCCTCCGGTCCCCTCCGCCTGCCCTGCCCAGCTCCCACTCAAGCCTTCTCCACCCGCACCCTCATGGAGCTAGCCCCAGGGCCTTTCCATCTTGTGACTCCACCCGCTGCCACATACTTGGCTCCAGCCATCCCCTGCGGGCCCCCCACTTCCTGCACAGCCAGGTGTGCCCCTGCCTGACGAGTTCTCTCCGTGGGAATGTTTGGGCCCCACCCTGGAGACTTGAAGGAACCCTGCCCACCTGTTCGTCAGAAATAAACTCTTTCCTGGAAGCTCTGCAGGCCTGAGTCCCTATGTCACCTGTGATTGTCATTGTTATGACGATAATGGCAACAACTAAGAGTGACAGCACATCCTAGGCATCGTGTCAGGTCATGAGTGAGGTCATCTCATCCTGAACCCCACGGAGCCTGTGCTGTTCTCTGCCCTTACAGATTGGGAAACAGGTAGAGAGACAGTGGCACAAACACAGTCCGTGGCAGCCAGCTGGATTGATTCCTAGGCCATCCCTCCGTGTTTATTCTGTTCTCCCTGGTTAGTTTCTGCCTCTCCGGCTAACTGCAGGCTCCTCAAGGGCAAGGACTGTGTCTGTACCCTCGAGTGGCTGGCCCAAAGCCTGACCACGGGTGACCGGACATGATGGCTACCTAGCACTGAGTGGGAGACAGAGCAGCCGAGGCTGTCCAGCATGGATTTGGAGTCCCTCAGAGCCCCTCCTGAGCTGTGTGACTTTAGGCCAGCTGCCTGACCTCTCTGAGCTTCCATTGCCCCCTCTGTGAGATGGAGGTGACAAGGCGCACTAACCTCGTGAGAATCAGGTGACATGACGCCCGTGAAATCCAAACCCAAATCACGCCACCTCCAGCCCCTCTGGTCCTGAGCCCTGGCATCGCCAGTGCCCTGCCTCCCGGTTAGCCCTATCACTTAGTCTATCAGTAGCTTCATGTTTCCTGTCTGACCTCGGCTGGGAATCCGGTTGGTTCTCCTATGTCAATCCGTGTGGCTGTGGGCCACGCGGTCCCTTTCCTTGGACCTTGGAACAGTTTCCTGTTCTAGAAGTCCAGGAGGTTGGACCAAAGGGTGCCTGGGTCCCCTTCCTGCTCTGGCTTCCTGAGGGGCAGGGAGGGACCTGAACACAACAAGGGGTGAGGACATGGAGAGGTGGCTCAGAAGCCTCCCATGGGCCATGGTGACCATCCATCCCCTGAGCACCCTGTATGCCAGGCTCTGCCCTGTCTGTGTCCTCGCAGCGGTACAAATTCTGTACATTTCCCTTACTTAACCCTCTGGCATATTAACTAAAAATTGAATTAATGAAACAGTTGGATAAACATATTACTTCATATTTAAAAAAAAAAAACACAACGAAAACACGTGCCTGCCTTGTGATTTCCTATGAGGTTACTAAACACTTCTTACTATTACCTCATCTTATCCAACCCTAGAACGTATTATTATCCCCATTTCATAGATGAGAAACTGGGGCACTGAGATGTTAGGGTACATGCCCAAGGTCACATAGTTAGTGTGTGGAAGAGCCAGCCTCTGAACCAGACCTGGAAGGTGGCATGTGGGAAGCAGGACATGGGGTGCAGTCACCAGAGCTCCCCACCCCCACCCTTTAGAAGTGTGACTTGCCCAGCTCTTCCCAGGGCAGATTCATACCCAAGTCACTGGCCCTGTCCTAGGTACTGAGAATATGAAAATCTATCAGACACAGTCCCTCCCTTAAGAGCCCACAATCTTGTAGGGGAGATTGATGGGTAACTTTTTTTTTTTTTTTAATCCTCACCTGAGGCTATTTTTCCATTGATTTTTAGAGAGAGTGGAAAGGAGGAAGGAAGAAGGAGGAGAGAGAGAAACGTCCATGTCTGTGTTCCTACCTTCCTCCCAACTCATCCGCACCCTTCTCAAGGCATCATGGATTGAAGCTCGCCCCTCATCACTCTCCCTGTCTGACACAGCATCATGTGGGGCCCATGAAGGCCTCAGCACGTGTTCATGGAGTGGACGAATGAGGGTTCCATTGCTCCCAGGGTCCAAGAGGAAGGGGCAGGCCAGCTGTCCCTGGTCCAGCCCTGAAAGCAGGAAGGAAGTTGTCCGAGGCCTCAGGTTCCCTGAGCTAGGTGCAGAACGTAGCCTCCAGGGCAGTTTTCTCAGAAACCAAAGAGCCACCTGGGTGGCTGGGACATTTGTGGATCCACGAGGACCACCAAGGGGGAGGCTTGTAGCTCTTGGCCACCTCCTCAGACATCTGTGTGTCTGCCAGGCCATGTCCCGAGTTGGACAGATCCAAGGCAGTCAGGGAGAGCCTGAAGAGCAGATGGGCAGGGTTCCTTCAAGTCTCCAGGGAGAATTAGTCCATCTGCTCCAAGACTCTCTCTCGCACAGGAATCCTTTAGGAATGACTCCCAGCTGTCACCAATACAGACCTGACGGAAGGAGCTGAAATTAGCTGAGGGTGTATTTCTCCTCCACGTACAAAACACGTCTATGGGGAAGGGCCCCAGGCCGCTGTGTGCTGGAGCCAGCTGGCACCGGCTCCTGAGAGCTGACGGTGCAAACCTCTTCCTGTGCAGCCCCTGTCCTGGGACCCCACATTGATAGCCTGAAACCGGCTTTGGTGGGAGTGTTCACATCGCAAGAGCTGGAAAGCACTGTAAAATGGGACTTTTTCTTTCCAGAGGGAGCTGAAGGAGCAGCTCCAGGCCCTCCAGGACAGCGAGCGGGAGCACACGGAGGCGCTGCAGCTGCTCAAGCGACAGCTGGCAGAGAACAAGGTGAGCAGGGCCTGGCCCAGGAGGTGACTGGCCCGGCGGGGCGGGGCCGGAGGGGGCGGGGCCGGTCAGAGGGGACGGGGCCAGAGGGAAGATGAGGGGCGGAGCCGAGGTTGAGGCTTCAGCAAAGGTAAATGAGGTGGGACTTAGTGCAGGGTAACAGAGCTAGGATTTGGGTTCGTGCTTGGATAAGGTGATCAGACGTCCCGCCCGAGACAGTCCTGATTTCTTTTTTTTAAGTGATGAATAATTCTTTTTAAAAAAATATATATTTTATTGATTTTTCACAGAGAGGAATAGAGAGGGATAGTTAGAAACATCGATGAGAGAGAATCATTGACCAGCTGCCTCTTGCACACCCCCACCGGAGATGTGCCGGCAACCAAGGTACATGCCTTTGACCGGAATCGAACCCGGGACCTTTCAGTCCGCAGACCGACACTCTATCCACTGAGCCAAACCGGTTTTGGCAACAGTGTCAATTTTTAACAATTTGTCCCGAGGCGTTTTAAAAAAGTCCCGAATCGGGACTTTTTTTAAAACGCCACGGGACAAATTGTTAAAAATCAGGACGTCTGGTCACCTTATTCTTGGATGAAGGGTGGATCCCTTGCACCCTTCCTGGTTTGGGTGGAGGTTGAGGTGGGACCAAAGGCCCCGGAAACCGCCCCCTCCGCGGCTCCCAGTAGGAGTCTTTTTCCTCCTACATGATGAACCAGGCCTGTTGACTGAGGAGCCAGTCCTGAGTATCTTCCCTTGAAACTCTCCCGATGATGTATGGGCCAAGCCTGATATCTCCCCTGTCTGACTCAGGCCTGGGATTATGGGCTCTGAAAAACAGGGTCAACCCCTCCTGTCTCTGGCCACAGTGATTTAAAAAGAAAAGCCTTTTTTCTGGGCCTTGAGAGAGCTGTGGATTCTGAGGCACCACGCACTGCTCACTGTGTGACTGCACTGCCAGCAGCAGCTGGGGCAGAGCCTTAGGAATGCTCTGGGCCTCAGGAGGTCGCACCGGGAGATCCAGCTCTGTGCCCCATGCTGGCAATCTGCTGTGGGGTTGCAGACATTTCCTTAGAGAACATTCCAGAGAGCCTCTGGGCAGGACCCTCTGGGAGCAACCCATGAGAAACAGTCACAGAACTCTGGCCTGTCTGCTTCTCACGGCCTCGGTTTCCCGATCTGCCTGGTGAGTGTACACAAAGAGAAGCCAGTGGAAGCCTCTGCCTGGATGAGGGGGGGAATATGGCCTGTTCCTTCTCCCCAGCATTCTCTTCTCTCCTTTTCTCCCTCCTCCCCCCATTGTTTTTCTCCACTGACCTCTTCCTCCCCTGATTTCCTGTCCATCTGTCTACCTCTGGGAGGTCCTGGGGGGCCCCCTACCCTCCAGTTCCCCCAGCCCTGCTTCCTGTCTGGACTGAGTGTTTATACAAGAAATGCCTATGGATGCTTTGGAGGTCATATTTCACCTGGTGCCTGACTCGGCTTTCCCGCCGGTGCCTGCTCCTCCGGCGGCCCAGCCTGAGGGGCTGTCTGACCTCTCCCCACAGGCCCCGTGTGTTCCTTGGTCGGCCCTGTCTGGCAGGGTGTTTTTCTGAAATGGCCCCAGGGTGTTCCCAGGGATGTGGTGGGCTGGGGTGGGGGCTCCGTTCCCAGCCATTGTACCAAAGGGGCTGGCGGTGAGGCAGGGGTGGCTCTGCCACAGAAAGAACTATAGTGACCGGGACACACCAGGTAAGCGAAACCTTTCTCCACTAGAAATTGATTCCCATTCCTTGTCTCACGGAGCCTCACACAATGTCAGCTCCACGACAGCAGGACTCTCAGACCGAGCACAGTGCCTCCCATACAGTTCATAATTGCAGAACAAATAAGTGTGTGTGTGTGGTTGGAAATGCCTTTGGAGGTATCTCCATTTCATCAGCAAGGAAAATGAGACACAGAGTGCTTGACAGACTGACCTGAGGCCCCAGAGCTAGTACGTGGCCAATCAGGAGCTCGCTGTCCACTGACGTCAGAGCCTAGTGCCTATTCCAGCCTCGTGCTGGGGTGTCCTCAGCAAGATCCCTGGCTTTGTGGCCAGCGAGTCAGGCAGGTCAGGAAACATATTTGGGTCTCCTGGGGTGGCTGTCCCTCTGATGTTCCACTTCTGAGCTGCCCTCTCCTGGCCTCTCCCACCTCCCCTGCCCATCCTCTTCTGTCCTGGGGACACGGGGCTCCCACTCTAGAAATAAGATGGGGTCTGCACCCGCCTCTACAGAGAAATCTTGGGCAAGACCCTTCCCTCCTTCATCTCTCAGGCAGGTCCGGACTGCACCAGCCTTGTGCCAGGCCATGGGATGGACACTGGGGGGTGGAGGGGGAGGAGGAAAGAAGTGAGGAAGACATTATTCCCATGGGGTGAGAGATGGATCTTTTTTTTTTTTTTTTAAATATATTTTATTGTTTTTTTACAGAGAGGATGAGAGAGGGATAGAGAGTTAAAAACATCGATGAGAGAGAATCATCGATCAGCTGCCTCTTGCACACCCCCACTGGAGATGTGCCCACAACCAAGGTACATGCCCTTGACCAAAATCGAACCCGGGACCCTTCAGTCCGCAGACTGACGCTCCATTCACTGAGCCAAACCGGTTGCAGCAGGGGATGGGAGCCACATAAGATCTGGGACCATGTAGTAAAATGTATTTACAAAACACTCTGGGGACATTTGACTCACTGCCTGAAAAGCTAAAGCAGGTGCCACAGAGGAGACAGCTGGGCCTTGTAGGATCAGTAGGCGTTTGCCAGGTGGATACGCTCTCTGTTGGGGTATCCTTCCTGGGCAGGTGGAATTGCAATGCAGAGGCACTAGAAGGGAAGCTGGGATGAACCGAGGACTCTGAATGCCAGGCTAAGGGATTCCGCATTTCACCAGTCCCCAAGGAGCCAAGAGAGGTTCTCCGACGACACAGGATGGGCTGAGACCCCGTTTACACATCAGAAGGATCACTCCGGCAGCGGGTTTGTTGGCCAAGACACAGAGCTGACTTTGGACCGAAAGAGTGGGAGGGCCTGTGGGATCCTGGGGTGTGTGTGGAGGAGGCAGGTGGGAAAATGAGCATGGGGCTCAGGAGTCATGCAAGGCCACCGATAAGGACGTGGGAGCCCTCCTCAAAGCAGCGAGAGCCGGAGAGGGTAGAGGGTATGGAGGATGAGAATGGGGGGTTGGGGGGGCTGGCCCGGTCACACCCTACGGAACATGGGTGGCAGAGAGGGAGCAGCCACATAGGTGGGAGGCAAACCAGAACTTTCGATAAGTAGAGAGTGGCCGGTGAGCCAGATGCTGCTGCAGCTTGGTTGAGGAGGAACTGGAAGGGGTGGCCCTGCGATTTGGGGACCTTTGGGGGGCAGCAGCAGATGGTGCAGGAAGGGCAGGCTCCATTTCTTCATCGTGACCTGCAGTGACCTGCTGCTGCAGAAGCCTCTGCCCTCCCTGGGTGGGGGGACTCAGTCATCGGCTGTCTGTCCCCAGCCTCCCCTCCACCCCTTTGTCTGCCTGGCGCTCTGGGTGGGCATGCGCAGGGAGGCTGGCCCGCTGCCAGCAGCTCTCTCTGCAGCTGAGACGGGAGGAAACTGGCCCTAATTGAGCCTTTGTGGAGCCTCCCACAGAGCCCTGGACACTGTACACAGCAGGGTCCCTGACTCTGTGAACTCCCAGCCAGAATCCCACAAAGTAAAATCGCAGAGGCAGGCCCCACACCCTGCTGCCGCCTGGCCACACTCCTGCGCCCCGTGCGTGTCATCCTGACTGGCGCTGCTCCCTCTTCCTGTTCTCCTTGCCCGCGATTGACATCCGCTCATTCTTCAGGCCGCAGCTCAGAAGCTGTCTCTCAGTGGAGAACTTCTAGGGTGTGTCTGTCAGAACTGATGCCTTTTTAACGACCAGGCTCTTTTTCTGCACATCCCCTCCTTCAGTCTTCACCATAACCCTGCAAGGTAGTTCACCCTTTGCACAGATAAAAAAAAAAACTAAGGTTCATAGACAACAGGCAACTGAGGCTGCCTTACTCAAGACCCAGAGCTGGGATCCTTGCCCACACTGTGGGCGCAAAAGCCTGTGCCCTACACCAATGTTTCCCAAACTTTTGACATATGTGCACCCCTTCTATAATTTTCCTAACGCTGAGTACCCCTCGTACTCATGAGAACATAGAATTAGGCGCAGCTAAGCACGGTGCAGTGCATATCCCCACCAAACTCCGGTGCAATGCGTACCCCCACCAAACTCTTCCCGTACCCCTGGGGGTACACGTACCACACTTTGGGAAACACTGCACACCACTCAGCCCCCTCCTGGGTCTGCCATGCCTGTGGGGGCAGAGAGAACCACTAAAGTCCGTGCTTGCCTCCTCTGATAATGGCCTTAGCCTCCAGCTCTTGTTCCTTGGCCTCGGGATGGCAGGACAAGGTGAGCGACCACCAAGGTTTGCCCAGCACATTGCAGCTGATAAAGCTTCTGAGATGCCATCTCGTTATCATTTTGCTTGAGCCCAGGAGTGATTTTTTTCTAAAAAAAATAAAGACTTCACAGATTGACTTCAACATCTTTTCCTTACCCCTGCCCCCTGCCCTCCAGCTTTCTTTCCACCCATCTCCCAGCTTCTCATCCCTCTCACCCTAAGCCCAATATCTGGGTGTCATCCTCACAACTTTCTTGCCTACCTCCAGCCAGTCAGTCAAAGACCCCTTCCACACCCGACATGTCTCTCAAGCCATGTCCCTTTGCTGATCCTCTCATTCGTGCCTCATTGTCTTACCTGGACTGTCTCATTGGCTTCCTCACAGGGCATACGGAACCATGTGCTGTGCCTGGCCATGCCAGTCAGTGCATACCACCGTGCTTTTGCATGTGCCACTCTCACCCCAAGTGTGCCCTTTCCCATCCTTCCTTCCTCTCTACATGCCAAGACTCTGGGTGTCCACCTCTCGTCCAGGCATCACCCCAACTGCTCCCCCTAACAAAACCCTGACGGCTGTCCCCCCAGTCCTCCACCAAAAGCCTGCGGACCACCATCGGCGAGGCATTCGAGCGGCTGCACCGGCTGCTGCGGGAGCGGCAGAAGGCCATGCTGGAGGAGCTGGAGGCCGACACCGCGCGCACGCTCACCGACATCGAGCAGAAGGTCCAGCGCTACAGCCAGCAGCTGCACAAAGTGCAGGAGGGCGCCCAGATCCTGCAGGAGCGGCTGGCCGAGACCGACCGGCACACCTTCCTGGCCGGGGTGGCCTCCCTGTCTGAGAGGCAAGTGCCTGCCTGTCGGGGGCCTTCCTGAGAAGGGTGTTTCCTACTGAGCCCATGGGAGGTGGTAGGAATGGAGATAGATGAAGCGGGTAGCAGAGAATTCATTCATTCAATCTTTATCAAATGTATAGGACATCTGTTGTATGCCAGAGTCTGTGCTAAAGGCTTTATGTATTTATATTTACATAATATAGTATATTACTTGTGTCATAATATGTTTGTTACTTACAGATTTATCTGATTTATAATAACATGCATATTATCCTATCTCAGTGGTCGGCAAACTGTACCCTAATTAAGTTAATAACATTGTACCTACCTATATATATAGTTTAAGTTTAAAAAATTTGGCTCTCAAAAAAAATTTCAATTGGTGTAATATTGATATTTGGCACTGTTGACTAATGAGTTTGTCGACCACAGTCCTATTTAATTAAGAGGGAATATGCAAATTGACAGTCACACTCTCACAATGATGGCGGCACCCATAGCCACAAGATGGTGGCACCTAGTCCCCTCAGCCTGCTACCAGAGCCCCACCGTCCTTTCAGCCCAGCTGGAGAAGAGGAGTGGCAGGTACACAATGCAGCCAGACCCACCCTCAGCCCCCCAGCCACCCAGGGTCGGCCCAAGGCACAGGCAAGCCTTGGATGGCGGCTGCCCAGTGACCCAGGGCTGCCCAAGGCTCAGGTAACCAGAGCTGGCCAAAGCTTGTGGTGCCTGCAGTGGCAGCAGCAGAGGTGTGATAGGGGCATCTCCTTCCCCTGATCGCCAGGTTGCCTCCTGCCCCTGAGGGCTCCCAGACTATGAGAGGGGGCAGGCCGGGCTGAGTGACGCCCCCCTCCAGTGCATGAATTTTCATGCACCGGGCCTCTAGTTTTACCTAATAATAGACAAACGTAAACTGACCATACCTCCATTACACCACCAGCCAATCAGGAGCAATATGCAAATTAACCCAACAAAGATGGTGGTTAATTTGCATACACAGGTGCTGAATGATGAGGACAGGACGCAGGTGTTCTGCCCCACCTCCAGCCCCTCAGGGCCTCTGGACAGCGTGGGAAGGCAGGGCTGGAGCGGAAAGAGGTGGCTCCCAGAGCCTGAGTGGAAAGGGGCTGGGCCAGAGTGGAAAGCCGGTGCCAGCAGCCAAGGAAAGGAAAGCCCATTCTAGCACAAACCTTCATGTATTGGGGTTCTAATATATATAATAAATAACCTCCTTGAAAGTAGTTACCACTATCATCCCCATTTCACACACGTAGAAACTGAGGCTCAGAGAAACTGGATCAGTTGGCTAAGGCTCCTCATTAGTATGTGGGAAAGCTGGGATTCAACCCCCGGTCTCTCTGGTCCTTTGCCACCCTTAATTATTAACACTTAATTATTGGTCTGTTGATGATCAGTACTGATAGTTAACATCATGTATTTGGTGTTGGCCATGAGCCAAGCCCTGTGCAAAGCATTTTATATATGTTATGCCATGTAATCCTTACAACCAAGAAGGCAGATGCCATATAGTACCCTTTTTAAAGAGGAGGAAACTGAGGCTGATAGCTAGAGAGGTAGGAAGTGGTACAAGCAGGCACTTGAATCTGGGTCTGGCTACTTTGCACACATGACCTCACCCTGTGTCTGCTACCCTGAAGGTGGGCAGTGTGGGGACAGGAATCCAGCCCCCAATGCAACCTGCTCTCCTGCTTTCCTTTCAGGCTCAAAGGGAAAATCCATGAGAGTAATCTGACGTATGAAGACTTTCCAACCTCCAAGTACACAGGCCCCCTGCAGTACACCATCTGGAAGTCCCTGTTCCAGGATATCCACCCAGGTAAGGCCCTGCCTGCCTCTCATCAAGAGAGTCCAGGAAGAGGCAAGAATGCTCATGAACTGAGGTCTCTTGAGCACATCCCAGCCCAGCCCCCTTTTATAAACACAGGAAGGGAGCAGGGCCAAGGGATGAAAAGAGTGCCTTGATAAACACCTACTATGTTCCAGACCAGAGCCTGTGCTGGGCATCTACACAATCACTTGGCTCAAAGAATCCTCATACAACCCCAGGCAGTAGGTCTTATTAGTATACCCATTCTCCAGATGAAGACACTGAGGCCCTGGGTAGGTCACCCATTCATTCTGTAAGTACAGTATATATAAAGCACCTACATTACACCAGGCACTATTCTAGAGATATAACAGTGAGCAAAACAGGCAAAAATCCCTGTTCTCATGGATCTCACATTCTAGGGCATGAGAGAGGAAGAAACCAAGGTAAATAGGAGAAATACATAGTTTATTAAATATCGATAAGGATAGGAAAGGGACTGGGGGGCTCTGAGGTAGAATAGAGATCTTAGATAGGGGATCCAGTTGGACCACACTGAGAAGGAGGCATGGGAGTGAAAACCTGAAGGAAGGAGAGGGAGCCATGGCGTCATCCAAGGAAAGAATGTTCCTGGCTCAGGAATAGCAGGAGCAAAGGCCCTGAGGGAATGGCTGGAAGGGAATGAGTGAGAAGGGAAGTTGAAGTGAGGAGGTCAGAGATGGAGCAGTGGCCAGACCCTGAGGGCCCGTAGGCCAGAGTGAGAACTTGGTGATGATAGTGGAGGCGTGATCTGATTTAGGATATACTTTGAAGGGATTGCCAATAGGATTTGCTAATGGGTTGAAAATGAGAAAAAGAAGACAAGGAAGCCTGCAGTGATTTTGGCAGAGGTGATTGGAAGGATGGGCTTGTGAGCACGAGGTTTGCAAAGCCAGTTAGTGTCTCAGTACCGATGTGGAGAAGGCAGCTGGGATGACTAGTCTTCGATACAGGAGAGAGGTCAGGGCGGCCTCCTGGGCATGTGGGCAGTACTGAATGGGCCAGGTGAGCTCACCTGGGAAGTGAGGGTAGACGGAAGAGAGAGAGGACCACTCTAACATTTGGAGCTTTGGAGCAGGCAGGGACAGGAGGGGGACCCAGCCAAGGAGACGGAGAAGGAGCTGCCTGAGATGTAGGAGGGAACCCTGGCACATCCTGGAGGCCAAGTGGAGAAAGTGCTTCCAGGAGGGGAGTGGCCGGTGGTGGCTACGCCACGTGTGAGAGTCCCCAAACTGCTCTCCCGTCTAGCCACATGGAGGTCTTTGCTGACTTGAACAGGAGCTATTTTGGTGGCGCAGTAGGGTCAAAAGCCTGACTGGAAATCATCCGAGAGAGAATGGGAGGAGAGGAAGTGGAGACGGCATGTGGAGACAGTGCTTCCGAGGGGTTTTATTTGCTGGAAGGAGAGTGTGTGGCAGCAGCTGTTGGGTTAAGACAGGAGAGGCAACAGCCTATGTGTGGGCTGATGGGAAAGACCCAGGAGAAGGAGGCGGAATTGGAGATGAAGGAGCGAGAGTCGCTGGACTGACAGCTGAGGAGCGGGATCTGCTGGGAGCCCGGAGAAGGTAGGATGATGGGCACCGAGCCGAGAGGCAGGTGGGAAGTCTCTGCCGATGGCTTCGCCTTTCCCACGAGGTAGAGAGCAAGGCCATCCTCAGGGCTGAGGAGGGGCAAGAGGAGGTGATGGGAGTTTGCTGAGGAAGGAGGGTCTGAACAGTTCTCTAGGAGAGTCAGTAGACCCGGGGCTGAGAGATCGATGCCTTCCCGAAATCACACAGCCGACAAGGGCAGCAGATGCCAGCCTTTCGGCAGCCGGGAGCCTGGTGTGTGCCTGAGTCAGGAACGAGGTCCTGAAGAGGCAAGACAAGAACACCGAGGGAATTCTCCCCAAGAACAGGCACTCTTTTTTTTTAATTAATTAATTAATTTATTTATTTATTGTCGAAAGTTTTATCACATGTCTCCTTTTTCCCCGATTGGACTCCCCGCCCCCCCCCCACTCTGCCAGTAATTCTCACCCCCCCCCTCACCCCCCTCCGCAAGCCCCCACTGCCCCAGGGTCTGTGTCCATTGGTTATGCTAATATGCATGTATATAAGTCCTTTGGTTGCTCTCTACCCCCCTCCCCTACCATTTGTCTCTGGATCTTTTCTTTTTTTTTAATTTCTTTATTGATTAAGATATCACATATTTGTCCTCAACCCCCCATTCCAATCCCCCACCCCTCCCCACTCATGCCCCCACCCCCTATTGTCCTTGACCACTGGTTAGGCTCATCTGTATGCACACAAGTCCTTTGGTGGATCTCTCCCTTTTATCCCCACCCTCCCTTTGAGGTCCAGGCACTCTTATTCTCCTCGCTTTTTCAGACGAGGTGACTGAGGCATAGAGCTACTAGGAACTTATCCACGGTTACAGCCTATAAACAGAAGGCCAGGATTTAAATCCAGGATCTGTCAGATCCCAGAGCCTGTGTCCTTGCCCACTAAGCTAACCAGTTATTCTCTGGCCTCAGACCAACCCAGGAAGGCTGGTGGGGAGACTGAGGCTCAGCGGGCTCACTGGTTTCCCAAGGTCACAGAGCAGTCAGCGATCTTTCCACCTGCCTGGATCATTCTTTTGGTCTGCTCGCATTGAAAGTCCCCTGAGGCACTTTCAGGAGGCAGGGGAGATAAATGGGGAAATAGACTCGGACAGTCCAGCAAGACAAGAACTGTGTATGACCAGGGACTCACAGGGGCTGTGGGAGCCCTGAGGGGGCACTGGGAGGCTCCGGATAGAGTGGGGGTGGAGCCAGGACATGTTGAACATCACTGAACAGATATTTGAATTGAGCGCTAAAGCTGAGGCTTTGCCACTAAGGGAAATGTGGAGCCTGGAGGTGCCTCCAAACAATCCCTCATATTGAACTGAATAGGCAAAGGTGGTGGGTGGTCCAAGGATGCTCACAATTGGGCCTTCTGGGCATGGGCGGGAGGGGCTGAGGCCAGTCCCTGAGCGTATGACTGCCAGGCAGAGCGGCAGGGCTCCCCTTGTAGGTGACTGATCTGATACATGATTACGGATTTCACAGAAGGGAAAGGCCACCTCCTAGTGCTCTATGCCCTCGCTCACAATGGGGCAGTTGTTGGGGGCAGGGCCTGCTTTCCAGCAGACTGGCGGGGCCTCTGGGACCCGTGGGGCAGGGTCTCTATATGCTCCTGCCCTTGGAGGGGCCTCCGCAGTAGGACCCAGCAGAGTCAGGGCCACTCATGGATGAAGCAGCATAGCGCAAGGAGGCAGGAAGCATGCCCAAGGGTCTTGTTCCCTCCCCAGCCACAGACCGGGGAAGCCCCTTTTGCAGATGGCCTCAGAGCTCTCTTTGTCTCAGCCGCCACCTGCTGCATCCCTGACGCAGCTCAGAGGCAATCTGGGCATCTCAGCCTGACAATCAAGGCCCTACGGACTACGTTCTCCCTCCTCCATCCTTGCACACACGCTGCTCCCTAGCCTGCAATCCTCTATGTAAACCTCCGTCTTTGATGGCGAACTCCTACCTCCTTCACCTCTTAGTTTATAAACGCCTCCTCTGGGCAGCCCTCCTGCATTTCTCCAGGTAGCCGTGGGCTTCCTGATCTCACTGTTTTGTCAGTGTCTGTGCAGCTGTCTCTCACTAGACTGTGAGCTCCTATAGGCCCAGAGCTGGGTCTAATGCATCACTACAGATCCCCAGCAGCCAGCACAGTAAATGTATATTGATGAATGAGTTAAAAAAAAAAAATGAGTCCCAGTCTCAGTTCTGCAATCAATTGGTATCTGGCATAGAGTATGTACCCAGACATTTGTTGACTGAAGGAACTTGCCACACATTCTTGGACAAGCTGCTTCCTCCTTTGAGCCTGTTTCTTCCTCTGTAAAGTAGGGATGTCCGTGTTCCCATGTGCACCCCCTCACCAGGGAGCACGTGGCTGTGGGAACTGGGCAGGGTTTCTCAGCCCCAGCACTATCGACCCTGGGGCTGGGTAATTCCTTGTTGTAGGGGGCTGTCCTGTGCCTGGTAGGATGTTTAGCAGCGTCCCTAGTGTCTACACAATTAGATGCCACCCTGCCCCCATGCCTCCCAGATGTGGTAACCAGAAATGTCTCAGTCTGCCCACGGTCCCCTGCGAGGCAGAGCGCCCCAGTGGAGAGCCACTGCCCCAGAGAGAGCTGCCCGTAGGAAGAGGGGCTGAGGGAGCAGAGCAACGTGTGCCCCGAACATCCTGCCAAGGACAGAGGCCCCCGGGGAGTTCAGAGAACAGTGACCTGGTTAGCCAGGCCCCTTCCTTTGTCTGTGGGGCCTGTGAAGTCACTCTGGCTTCTCTGCCAGCACCAAAGGCCCTTTATGTCCAGATGGGAGGGGCAGGCACCCCCAGGGACCGAGCCCATGGATTCCAGCAGCTTCCTGTACGCCCCCCTTGCAGCTCTATAGCTCCCTATGGGCTCATCTGAGAACTTCATCCAGCACCTGTCACTCCTCCGCATCCCCTCACCCCTGCTCTGGAGCTTCCACTCTCTGCTAACACGCCCCTCCCCCACCCCCACCCCTCAGCGGACACTGGAAACCCTCCTACAACTGCCAGCCTGACTGTCCCAGCTCCCAGGCATGGACTTCTCCCCCAGCCAGGCCAGGTGGCCATTGTTCCAAGGACACCAGACACTGCTCCCTTATTTTCCCACCACCTCCCTCTCCTGGCCTGTTCTCTCCTCCCCCTGCTTATCTGAATCCAGTCATTTTGGGTTCCAGCATGTTCCCTGCCTGCCTAGCTGTGTGACCGGGGCAAATCGCTGCCCTCTCTGAGCCTGTTTCTTCATCTGCAGATCGGGAAAGTGTAACTTACCTTTCCAGGGGAGGAGATGTGAGAATTAAATAAAATCCTTTCTTGCTGCTAACTAGCCAGAGCTTAGTACTTGGTACCTGCTTGTCATTGTTATCTTGAATATCAGATGGTGCCTCAGTCTTACGGAACAGGCTTTCTGGGGCCACATAAAGGGAAGATGTTTGAAAAGACCTCAATCATGTTCCAATGCTACTTCCAGCCCAGGTAGCAACTTGAGCAAGCCACTGAACATGGAGACGTCTCCATGGCCTCACTTTTCTCTTCTGAAAAAATGGGTGCAGTCATCTGTGTTCCTGGGGCTGCTCTGGTATTCCCATCAGCTAGTGGGTGGGAAGATGCCTGACAGATGTCAGCACTGAGTGAGTGGGAGGCCTAGGGGACCAGCTTTAAAAAAAAAAAAAAAAAAAAAGGCCTGGCCAGAGGCAAGAGCTTATGGTATCTCCTGTCCTGTCAGGCCCGTGCAGGCTCAAAGCTACTGCCCTGGAGAACAAAGAGGCACACGCCACTCATTGCCAAGCAACGGTGCTGGACTGCAGATTTCTCTGCTGCTGGGACAGCTGTAGCGAGTGGTTAATGATGGCCCAGAGACATTTCCTGGGCCTCCACAGCCCATGCTCCTTCCAGAATGCATTTTAGCTTCAAGATCTCAGAGAGGCTTAAATGGACCAGGAATCTACCTGGAGACCAGACAGGCTGCCTGCTTCTTGTTTTTCTGAGACAGTGTTTTGGGGCCTAGGAAGGCGCTCTGACCTCTAAGATAGTGAACCCCGGAGGAATGGACATGTTTCCCTGGCTCAGTCACCTCTCCTGAGGATAAAGGATGGGCGGAGGGACTGCTGGTCTTCTAAAAGGGAGAAGCTGAAGGCTGTTAACTCCTGCTAGCCCTGGCCTCCAGGGCGCGAGAGGGAGGCCCCAAGACAGGACCCTCTGTTTATGATGAGGTGGGAGGCCCTGGAGGTGGCCCTCAGGTTCAGGCCACGCCTTCTGCCTAATAAGAACACCTGCTCCAGCCCTGCCCCTGAGATGTGGGGCCAGGCCCTGTTACCAGGCTCCGCCCCCTAGTTCTGCCTTCCCGGCCAATGAGTGGCGTGCCCTGCCCTCATCCAGTGCCCGGGCTTCTGTGCCCAGGACCTCCTTCCCTTCACTTCTGTCGGCCCAATCTCAGAGCCACGACACTGGGCTGCCTCCTGGAGTGGCCTCCCCATTCTCAGTGGCACCGGAATTGACCTGCGATGCTACCTAGGCTTAAGAGTCGGGGGCTGAGCCCTCCTACCTGTCTAGTCTCCCTCCTGGTCCTTCTGCCCTGAGCCACAATTTCTGCCTGCTGCTGGTCTCCTCAAAGCATCCAGGCACCTCAGATAGAAGGCCAGCTGGCTGCGAGCACTCGGAACTGCTGCTGCCCACACCTAGGCGTGGTGCCCGCTCTGGCCCAGCAGTTGGCACCTGCGTATCACCCGCCTCCACAGCCAGGAGTGGCCCACCTGTGCCTGATGACAGTCTTCTTTCCCTACTGCCCCCTCCCACTCCCACACACACACACACCGTGCACACTTCCTCCACCCTCTCCACCTCTCTCCTCCTGACTCCTCTGTGGGAATCCCTCCACTCCCGCGGCAGGAGCCTGGTGATTCTGACAGGCAGCACCGGGATCAGTGAGGTGACAGGGTAACACGTTCATACTCTGATTCAGTGTCTTCCCTCTCATGGCCCTCCCTCTTCAGTGCTCCGGAGAGAGAGTTGTATTTCCGTTGGCCCCTCTGTTCACAGGGCAGCCCTCTGGATTCTAAGGACAGGACAGAAAAGTGTAAGATGTAAAACTAAACTCACGCCTGGCAGAGTCCTGGTATGTCAGAGGCCAGCTTTGTGAGCGGATACAGGGACAGAGGCAGCGTCCAGGGCTGTCTGCTGTTCTCTGTTGGACACAGTCGCCATCACGGAGGTGTTTTTGTTTCTGTGCGTGGACAGAGCCAGCAGAGGTGCTTGAAGTAGGGGCAGTGCTCCAGCCAAGTGTAACCATGTCCCTGCGAAGGAATGTTCCAAAAAGCCGGATGAAGCCCTTCCTTCACGCCAAGGAAGGGGTGGCAGGATTCCTTCTTCCCATCTCTCCTCCCCTCTGCCTAGCTCTGGCCTGGGAATGGTCGTCAATGCTAAGGAGAGTTGCTTCCAGGTTCCCCTTCTTCCCGCTGGGCATCAGCTCCCTCAGGGAAGAGGGAGTAAACAGACAGGAGTTCACGAGACTCCGAACCAGCTCTGCTCAGCCAGCGGCCAGCCCAGGGCCCGCTGACCCAGGCTGTGCTGGCGCCCAAAGGCTCACAACGTGAGCCTTTCCAGAGATCTTCCCCGCGCTGGCACACAAGGAGAGGCTAAGGGATCGCACAGTCCTCGCCCTGGAAGATGTGGGTACAGGATATATTGGGAGCGGGCCCAACGTTAGAGAATCTCAGAGGAGAGAGTGAGCGCACCTGCTGGGAGGCCAAGGAGGTTTCCAGGGGATCAGCCACGGAATTGAGCTGTGTGAGTGTGTGTGTGTGTGTGTGTGTGTGTGTGTGTGTGTGTCGGGAAGGAGGGTGATTACAAGCAGAGAGGAGGTGGTAGAGGACATGGCAGCTGAGAGGCGGACGGGAAGAGAGGGCTGGGGCTGGTTTGCACGTGGCCTGGCTTAGTCCTGGCTTCGCTGAACCACCTGACACTAGTCATGTCTCTTCTCTGGGTTTCAGTTTCCCCATCTGTCACCTGGGAGGGTGGGCCTGGAATTAGTGGTTTTCAGATTTATCAGACCCATTATCTACTTCTCATAACAAATAATAGGTCATGTCTCAAAGATAGAATGACCTTTTAATAATTTAAGTACATATATATACACATGCATGCATATAGACACACTGACTATAATATGTAATATGAAGAAAATTATCTGTAATAAAACGTTGTGTATGTCACTATGTAAATGTTCACTCATAGTCACACCAGAAAACATAATGAAGTAATCAAGTAAAACACTATTCTCCCTCAAATGCAGATGGAAGAGGTAGGTTATATCAGCCAGTGGCCTTGTTCTTAAAGATACAGTTTCCAAAAATGTGAACAATTCTCAGTGAAGATTTTTTTAAAGTATATATTTTTATAGATTTCAGAGAGGAAGGGAGAGGGAGAGATAGAAACATCAGTGATGAGAGAGAATCATTGATCAGCTGCCTCCTGCAGGCCCTGTACTAGGGATCGAGCCCACAACCTGGGCTTGTGCTCTGACCAGGAATCAAACCATGATCCGGTTCATAGGTTGACGACGCTCGACCACTGAGCCACACTGGCTGGGCCTCAGTGAAGTTTTAAACAAAACAGACATAGTCTTTCCTCAGTTCGCATGGTAGTTATATTCCAAAATACTCAATATATATTACAAACTGTATAAGAAGTATTGCCTGGTGGAACATCTGAAAATTATTGGTGGGGTGGCCTGGAGCTGCCCTGCACATCCCATTCAGGGCATTTAACCCCCCTGCACTCCATCTTTGAGGCGATCCAAACACCTCCCACAGATTTCCAAATCACCCCCGAGGGGACTATCCAGCTCTTGGACAATCTTTTAAGCTCCCTTCCAGCTCTGAAGTTCTCTTAGTTCTGGGCCTCATTCTGGTTTATTCTCTTAGTTCTGGACCTCATTCTGGTTTATTCAACAAACTTTTGGGGAGTGCCCACTGTATGGCCCCAGACATCTGCCCTGAACAAGCAGCATGGCTCGTTCTCCCCTGAGCCACGTTGACAGCTGGGAGGGCCTCGGCCTCCCCCCCCCCCCCCCCCCCATTGTACAGAAAAGGAAGCGGAGGTCCGGGGAGGCTTGTATGCGCATCACGCAGCCTCCTGGGGACCAATCAGAATCTGACCCTCAGCCTGGGCCCACGGTCTCCTATCCACTCACGTCTCCCTCCTCCATCCCCCGCAGTGCCAGCCGCGCTGACCCTGGACCCGGACACCGCCCACCAGCGCCTGATCCTGTCCGACGACTGCACCATCGTGGCCTACGGCAACCTGCACCCGCAGCCGCTGCAAGACTCGCCCAAGCGCTTCGACGTGGAGGTGTCGGTGCTGGGCTCCGAGGCCTTCAGCGGCGGCGTCCACTACTGGGAGGTGGTGGTGGCGGAGAAGACGCAGTGGGTGATCGGGCTGGCCCACGAGGCCGCCACCCGCAAGGGCAGCATCCAGATCCAGCCCAGCCGCGGCTTCTACTGCATCGTCATGCACGACGGCAACCAGTATAGCGCCTGCACGGAGCCCTGGACGCGGCTCAACGTCCGAGACAAGCTGGACAAGGTGGGCGTCTTCCTCAACTACGACCAGGGCCTGCTCATCTTCTACAACGCCGACGACATGTCCTGGCTCTACACCTTCCGCGAGAAGTTCCCGGGCAAGCTCTGCTCCTACTTCAGCCCCGGGCAGAGCCACGCCAACGGCAAGAACGTGCAGCCCCTGCGGATCAACACCGTCCGCATCTGACGCCGCCGAAGGACACGACGCGGGGCACCAGGGCTCTGGCCACCCGTGGGAGCCCTGCCCGGGAGACGGGAAGCCTGGACTCCAGCCGCCGGCCAGCCTGAGATCTCTGTCTACCCCTCCGCCTGCCTTTCCTTGTCTGTAAGATGGAGGTTGTGCTCCACGATTCCTAAACCCTCTTCCAGCATCGGTGTCCTTCAGCTCTGACCTTGATGGGGAGGCATCTTTGGCCCGGAAGTGTGTCATGGCTTCTCAGGGCAGCTCCCGCCCAACCCTCATCCCCATCCTCTGAGGGGCAGGGCTCCGTCTCCCTGTACCTCCCTCCTGCCCACATGCCCTAACTTCGGGACACGTCAGCGTGGTTGCCGGCAGTTGGCAGCTCAGAAGATACTCAGAACCCTCTTGGGCTCCCAGGCCTAAGACTGTCCCTGACCAAGCTAGTGATGGGCCGTTTTACCCGTGACCCCAGCCCCCAGTGGACACAGGCAGTAGCTGGACCTAGCATGGCCTCAAAACCACTCTCTCCTTCCTCCTTCGGACCAAGAGCGTGTGGTTCTTGCTTTTCCAACTTCTCTGCGGGTAAAGACGGTGGTGGCCTGTGGACGGCAGCCAGTAGCTGAGCCGATGATGAGGCTTGGAGAAGGGTCCAGCCTGACCTCTGTGACTGGCTAGAGGTGTGGAGCAGGCTGCAGGGAGCAGCTGTTTTCATCAGGACCTGACTACTGGAATGGGCTGCTGGCTGGGCCCTCTCGTCAGACTTGGCATCTATCTCCACTAAGATCCTGAAGTAGAAACAAGAGCTGCCATAGCTCGTTTAATTAGACAGGATTTATTACCGAGCCCCTGATGGCTTTACAAAATCATTGGAGGGGCTGAAGGAGCAGACACTTTGCTGAATTTCCAGCAACAGCTCCCGGCTGCCAGATTCATCGTGTCTCTCCTGACACTGCTTCCGGAAGCCGCTGACTGCGGAACTGTGCTCCCTCTGCTACGCTTCCCAGCAAATGGATGTCCTGAGGCCTGCCTTCTCCCACTCAATTCAGTTCCCACATCCAAGCCTCCATGAGGGATTCTATTTGGGGAATTAGAAATCAGGTCCAAAACCTTGGCTGCAAGGGAGTCTGGGGAATGTAGTTTTCTTTCTAGCCTCAGCCATACAAGAAGGCCCCTTACAAGGACGTTAAGATGGATGTTGAAGAAGCCCTGCATGGTTTTTGCCACGAGTGTGCGTCCAGACCTTGGCTTTGAAGCGGCACTTTTCCTGCTCCATGCTGAGTCCCTGCCCAGGGGCAGGAGCCCAGCAGATGGGCCTGCAGGACCAGGCTGAAATGTGTCCCCAGCCTTGACTTTTCTTCCGAGGCCTGGGGCCTACATTCTGAACTTGGAGTCTCTGACCACACCCATCTCAAAGGAGCCAGACTAGCTGAACTTGGGGGGGGGGGGGGGAGGCTCTCACCTCACAACTGCTGCCCACTGGGGCCTCCCATGGGCAGGAGGAGTCCTCAGTCTCACCCAACCCCTTCATCTACCGGAATTTGGGCCACCCCCAACAGTATTTTTATTTTAAATGTTGCCCATTTTGTGAGTTATGGTGAATTTATACTAAATTAAAGTTACAGGATACCAGTGGTCAAGTTCATTAATTCTGACAAAACAAAAAGGCCTACCTCTTGTGTCTCAGGCAGTCTACATGTATTAGAATACACAAATCACTCTACTGGGTAGCTACCGTGTTTCCCCGAAAATAAGACATCCTCCGAAAATAAGACCTAGCGCATGGAAAGATAAGAAATCCCCTGAAAATAAGATTTAGCACAACTTTGGGAGAAAAAATTAATATAAGACACTGTCTTATTTTCAGGGAAACAGGGTAGTATTATGCCCATTTTACAGAAGTGGAAAAATGAGGTTAAGATAGAGGGAGTCGCTTACCGTTCCTTGTCCCACATGGGTACGTGATGGAGCATGGGTTAGAACCAAGTTCTGAACCACTTCTCACGTCGCACTCACTAGCCAGGGAAGAGTGGCAGTCTGCCCAGAAGAGGGTGGCGGTAGCCTTGGTTGCAGAGCGGAACTCATGAAGCAGTGGCAAGAACCTGGTCTCTGGAATCCCACACGCCTGGGCTTGAATCCAGGCCCCATCACAGTGTGGTTTCAAAGAGATGATGTAAACGTCTCTGGGTCTCAGTTTCCTCACATGGAAAACGGGGGTGATAACCCAGTCTCACATGATGTATCACTAAGCTGCAAAATGGAATGCACCTAGGGAGGCCCTGCCTCACTCCAGCTGCCTCCCAGAGCCAGTGCCTGGAACCGTGTGAGTTTCCTGAACCTTTGGATTGGCGCTGACCCTAAGGAGTCTACACTGAGTGGCCAGATTATTATGATTTCTGAACACATAATAATCTGACCACTTAGTGTGTGTGTGTGTGTGTGTGTGTGTGTATTAGCAGCTGGTGTATGAATTCGTGCATGGGTGGGGTCCAGCCACCCTGGCCAGGGGGAGGGGACATGGGCAATTGGCCAGCCTGCCTGCTGGTCGAAGTTCTGGTCGTTGGGACAATTTACATATTAGCCCTTTATTATATAGGATATACACTGAGTGGTCAGATGATTATGCATTTAGAGATAATAATAATCTGGCCACTTATTGTATTTCCTGCTTGTGCCTTATGTGGAGTGTGGGACTGCCTAGGCCAGGAAGGTCCCCAGGTCTGCTGTGAAGAAGCAGGTGCATTCTACCTCTGATGGGGAGGCAGCCTGGCCAGGACAGGCAGAGCCCTACATGTGGACACAGACCATGCACACTCAGTGGTGCAGTGCAGCAGCCTGGCACTTTTTAGGACAAGCCCATGAAGTTGGTATCATCATCTCAGTGTCTGAGTGGAGAAACATTACTTCCCAGGGGACCCACAGCCAGTATTCAGCAGAGCTGGAAACCAGACTCAGGCCCATCCAAAGATAAAGCCAAACTCTTCCTGGACCTCCCCGACATCTCTGCTATGAGGACTGCATCAGTGACAGGAAGCAGCCCCCAGAACTGGGATCCCCGGATTCAAGGTGGGAGCCGCGCCCAGGCTCCACACATTGTGGAATTGTGCAGTTGCCAGTTAAGCCTCAGTTGAGAGCCAAGCCTCATGTGTCTCCAGGTCAGGGTGGACTTGTGAAGGCACTATGTGAAACTTAGCGGTTCCCCTCTCCCCTGGGCCTCAGTTTCCCCATCTCTTTGAGGGAGGAGCTAGGGATCTGGGTAATTGATAGCCAAGGTCCTGGCTCTGATGGTTCAGGATCCTGTAAGTCTAATGTTAGTCTCAGAGTTTGGCCTGCTCAGCACCTAACAAGGCCATTAACTCGATCCTTCTCTCTGGGGTGGCAGCAGGGACAGAAAACAACAGAGATAAGGTCTCTTGGCTGCACAGAGCTTGGCCCAAGGGATCGGGACCAGCCTTCCCTCCTGCCAGAGAGACCATCCCGGGAGGCTGACTGCTCACACCTGGGCAGCATTCCCTCTTTTCTGGGTCCAAGCTCTGGTCACGGTCCCTAGGAGGTCAGTTGAAAGGACATGTCACAGGCTTAAGTGCAGGGGGCTGGAGCGGGAGGTGGGGGGACATGGAGGGGATGGGGTGCTGGCCAAGGTGCTGAATCATCATTGCGCAACAAGGCATGGCTATTTCTCAAAAATGAGCACATTTCACTGTTTCTGGTCTGCTTCACATAACTCCATCTTCCATTCTGTGGTTCAGGGTTTCCAGGGAACTTGGGAGGGTCTCAGATACAGGTCTCACAGCTGGTGAGCAGCAATGTGAGCCTCTCCCGCTCAGGACTGATTGGGCGTGAGATGAGCAGAGCGGCAGGTAGGAGATGTAGGCAGTGTTGGACTGTGGGGTTTCAACCCGATCCCCGCAGGCCACCCAGAGGAGCCCCACCCATGCACTGGGCCTCTAGTGTTCAATATTCAGATCCCAAATGAAGAGTGTTAAGCATATTTTGGTCTGTTAACCAGGGAGTTCCCTTTTTAATTACGCAACCTGTAATGGCGCGTGCTCTTTCACTAGGACGTGTCAGTACGTCATGCCCGGAGGACGTAATTTCATATTATTATTCTTTTTTATTTATACTTAATTAAAATAAATGATATATATATATTTTTTCATTTATTTATATATAAAGCACAAAGGAAAATACAAAATTATTTTTAAAAATAGAAAAGAATACCAACAAAAAAATGGAAACATCGAATTAAAAAATTATAAATTTTACAAACAATTATAAAGATTATAAAATATAGCCGAAACCGGTTTGGCTCAATGGATAGAGCGTCGGCCTGCGGACTGAAAAGTCTCAAGTTTGATTCCGGTCAAGGGCATGTACCTTGGTTGCGGGCACATCCCCAGTAGGGGGTGTGCAAGAGGCAGCTGGTCAATGATTCTCTCTCATCGATGTTTCTAACTCTTTATCCCTCTTCTTTCCTCTCTGTAAAAAATCAATAAAATATATTTTTTTAAAAAGATTACAAAATATATATACCGTCCCTCTCAGGGAGCAACATATATTTCCAGGACGTATTCATACATCCTACCCATTCCCGATATTGTTTATGTTTGACGTATTTATAGGTCCCACTCAGTTAACAGGTTAATACCCCTGCTTTTGCAATACTGCCACCACACTCCCTCCAAGAATGCCCTTGCTCTCCTTTGTCTTCTGTCGAAATCATACTCATACTTCACATCCCACTCAAGCCGAAGCTGTCTCAGGGGTTCTTGTCCAGCAGAATTCAGCCACTAGACCGCAAGCCTCTTGAGGCAGGGATCATGCCCCTGGCTCTGCCCGCTGGCTGCAGAAAGGACCTCGGAAAATGGTTACTGACCGGTGTCAAAGCTGGAGTCATGAAACCAAGTTGGGGTTTTTTCCCATGTGAGTCTTAGGGACCAGAGACAACTCTTCCCTAAAGATGCTGGAAAAAATGCTGACCCCACTGGGTGAGCCCACTGACCACCCCA